AAGCAGTCAGGCTCAGAAAATCCATCTGTTTAATAGCAAAAAACATCTTCCACATGAAGGAGTATGCCCTGGGAATGATTTCTTTTTTCTGGCTAGTGGTCAGTTCCATGGCAAAACACTTGGCAAAAGTTAGAGAGGATATTGTCTTTATTGAAGAGATTGAATCAGTCACTGTCTCTTAAATGTTAGCTACAGTGTTGAAAGGCTATGGTTGATGCTGAGCCTTCATGAACTATAAACTTGAAATAACTAGCTCCGAAGATATCGGGTCTAGTAATAATTAATGTCGTTTTTAAACATTCGTTTAAAATCTTGCTTGGCGTTGACTTGTATTGACATAACCTTCAAACATGTGGTATCTACAGAACGTGTGAAGTGCAATTAACAAGTTTTGCTTGAAAAAGTTTGTGTTTGGTTTGGTTTTTGTTGCAAAACTAGGGCTAAGAAGATGGCGGATGAAGAGCATATTCAGCACTGCATGCTTTACGAGTTCCAATTAGGAAGAAAAGCAAGTGAGGCTGCAAAAAACATCTGTAGTGCTCTTGGTCAAGATGCAGTTAGTGCCAGAAAATGCCAGAGTTGGTTTGAGAAATTTTGCAAGGGAAATTTTTCGTTAGATGACAAGAGTGGTCGAGGCCATGTGTCCAATTTTGACCAAGAAGCTCTTCAAGCTCTTTTGGTGCAAAATCCTCAAATTGCCCAACAAGAGCTTGCGACAACTTTAAATTGTTCACAAAAAACAATTTCCAATCAATTGCGTGCACTTGGCAAAGTCCAAAAGTTTGGAAAATGGGTTCCTCATGAGTTGACCGACAACAACCATAATCAAAGAGTCAGAATTTGCAGTTCGCTCCTCTCTTGTCAAAACTGTTTGCCGTTTTTAGAGCAAATTGTTACCGGAGATGAACAATGGGTGCTGTATGTTAATTTGAAAAGGCAGCCTCAATGGTTGGACAAAAATGAGGCTCCGCAGCCCACACCAAAACCTGACTTGCATGCGAAAAAGTGATGTTGTGTGTTTGGTGGAATTTTAAAGGAATTCTTCATTATGAACTTTTACCATCTAACCAAACCATTACAAGTGCAGTGTATAGTGCCCAATTGGAAAGGTTAGCCCAAGCTTTAAGAGAAAAAGAACCCGCGCTGATTAATCGGAAGGGCGTAATTCTTCACCATGATAACGCATGACCGCATACTGCAAGAATCACTGCTGAAAAACTGTGCCAGTTGGAATGGGAAGTTCTCCCTCAACCTGCATATTCTCCTGATATTGCCCCTTCCGATTACCATTTGTTTCGTTCTTTACAAAACTTTCTTCTTGGAAAAAATTTAATAATGAAGAATGCCTCAAAAATGCATTGACCGAATTTTTTGCATCAAAATCACAAGAATTTTACAACAGAGGGATTAAAATGCTTCCTGAGCATTGGGCACAAGTAGTAGAAAACAACGGCAACTATATTGTTGATTAAATTTTGTTGTATTGTTTAAATAAATTCGATTTAAAAAAAAAGTATTAGAAAACGACATTAATTATTACTAGACCTAATATGTATTCAATCTCTTATTCTAGGCAGCACTGAGTTATGAAAAACACATTGGAATGCATTTTTCTTATCCTTGAATTTGCCAGTGATGTTTTGCATATAATTGCATAAATCTCATTTCTCAAGACTTACAACAAATTTACAGGCACAGTGCAAAATTAAAATGTAGGACTTCATGTTAAAAAAAGTATTAACAATTTTAAGATGGCAATCCCAGATTATTAAACCTAATTCAGGATCCTTCTAAGAATAGGGCCATGTGCACTGCCCTAGTTGTATACCCATGAAACTGACCTGCTTGTACTTTATGGTCTTTATTTATAAAGCTAGTGGCCCGGTGCACAAAATTAGTATAATAGCTGAGGGTTTATCAGATATGGTCATTATTATTTTGAAGTACTTTCATTCTATACCCATTTTATTGAGTATTTTAATCATAAATGAATGTTACATCTTTTCAAATATTTTATCTTCATCTATTGATAAGATCATATAATTTTTATCCTTTATTTTGTTAATGTGGCATATTTCATTGTACAAGTTGTATATTACAATTTTGAAAAATAAATATTTCTAGGAATTTAGATCTTGGAGGACTTGGGCATTTGACAATGAATGAGATGACTAGGGATCTGTGTAATGATAGGAGGCAAAACTATCTTTTCAATATTCCCACCCTGTAAATGTCTAGAAATGACAAACATTAAGACTTTTAAAAATCATTTTGGAGAACTCATCTGGTTTTATAACATTTAATTACATGTATATTTGCTTCAGAATGTGAAACTCAGAATATCTCTTGTGAATCATATAGATATTTATGAATATTTTTGAAGAGAGTTTCTATTAATTGAATTTTTTTTTTTTACTTTCCAGTTAATGTACCTAATCTTCTTACATGCCTCAAAGACTAATTTGATGGCTGAAATCCTAAACATCATGACCCTGGGCTCTGCTGTAACTTTTATAATATCTGAACAAAAAATCTCATTTAAAAGTGAGTCAAGCAACAGAATTCAATTAGACAACTGAGCCTATTAAGCACTTACAGTTGCATTTTAATAACTCTCAATTTCTAAAACATAGTGTTTCAATAAATTCTAAATGGTTTTCAATCTGTTTTGTTTGTAAAAATTAATTTTTTTACATTTTGAAATATTTTAGACATATAGAAAGCAATATTAGAATATATATGTATGTAAGTTCCTAGATTTCACAGTTATTATTTTTTTATTTGCTTCAAATTTCTTTTTTAAAATTTATTGCCTAAAGTTTTACATATGTATCCTTTTCCCTGATTTACCACCCCCTACCAGCCATGCCCATCCCGGGCAAGCCCCACCACCCCAGTGTCTGTGTCCATTGGTTATGCTAATATGCATGCATATAAAGTCCTTTAGTTGCTCTCTAAACCGCCCCCCCTCTGCCCCCCTCTTCACACCTTCCTTGCCATTTGTCTCTGGATCTATTTTTGTTCATCAAATTATATTGATCATTATATCCTACATATGAGTGAGATCACGTGATACTTATCTTTCTCTGACTGGCTTATTTTATTTAGCATAATACTCTCCAGTTCCATCCATGCTGTTGCAAATGCTAAGAATTCCTTCTTTTTTATAGTGGCATAGTATTCCATTGTGTGGATGTGCTACACTTTTTTAATCCATTTGTCTGCTGATGGGCACTTAGGCTGTTTCCAAATCCTAGCTATTGTAAATTGTGCTGCTATGAACATAGGGATGCATATATCCTTTCTGACTGGTGTTTCTAGTTTCTTGGGATATAGTCCTAGAAGTGGGATTACTGGGTCAAGTGGGAGTTCCATTTTTAACTTTTTTAGGAAACTCCATACTGTCCTCCACAGTGACTGCACCAGTCTGCATTCCCACCATCAGTGCACAAAGATGCCTTTTTCTCTGCACCTTTGCCAGCACTTGTCATTTGTTGATTTGTTGAGGTAGCCATTCTGACAGGTGTGAGATGGCATCTCATTATTGTTTTGATTTGTATCTTTCAGATGATTAGTGACTTTTAGTATGTTTTCATGTCTCTTGGCCTTCTGTATGTCCCTTTTCTAAAAGTATCTATTTACACCCTTTGCCCATTTTTTGATTGGATTGTTTATCTACCTTTTGCTAAGTTGTATGAGTTCTCTGTAAATTTCAAAGATTAAATGCTTATCTGAAATAGCATTGGCAAATATGTTCTCCCATGCAGTGGGTTTTCTTGTTATTATTTTATTGATGGTTTCTTTTGCTGTGGAGAAGCTCTCCATCAAAAAACTGCTAGACCTAATAAATAAATTTGACAATGTAGTAGGATACAAATCAACATCCAGAAACCTCTGGCCTTTTTTATATACCAATAATGAACTCACAGAAAGCAAAACTAAAAAAACTATCGCATTTACCATTGCACCAAAAAAATTAAGATATCTAGGAATAAGCTTAACTAAGGAGGTAAAAGACCTGTACTCAGAAAACTACAGAACATTGAAAAAAGGAACATAAACAAATGGAAGAACATACCATTTTCATGGATTGGTAGAATCAATATAATTAAAATATCCATAATACCCAAAGCAATCTACAGATTCAATGCAATCTCCATTAAAATACCAACAGCATATTTCAAAAATCTAGAACAAAAGATTTCTCCAAAAATTTATCTAGAATAAATAAAGACCCCAAATGGCCACAGCAATCCTGAGAAAGAAGAACAAAGTTGGCTGGATCACAATACCATATATCAAGCATACTACTAAGACACAGTTCTCAAAACTGTCTGGTACTGGCACAAGAACAGACATATAGACCAATGGAACAAAACATAGAACCCAAAAATTGACCCAATCCATTATGCTCAATTAATATTTGACAAAGGAGTCAAGAGCATACAATGGAGTTAAGACAGTCTCTTCAATACTAATAAATGGTGTTGGGAAGTTTGGTCAAATACATGCAAAAAGATGAAACTAGACCCTAACTTACACCATATATAAAAACAAACTCAAAATGGCTAAAGGACTTAAAATGTTAGACAGGAAACCATAAAAATCCTATAAGACTCCATAGACAGCAAAATAGCAGATATTTGTTGTAGCAATATCTTTACCAACATAGCTCCCAGGGCAATGGAGATCAAAGAGAAAATAAATAAATGGGACTACATCAAATTTCTCTTTTTAATAAGATATTATCTAGCTAACTACCTCCCAGTGCCCCCAGATTTATTGATAGATAATTCACACAATAATGTTGTCTAATTTTAAGGTGTACAATATGATGAATATATATATATATTTTGTGTGTGTGTATGCGTGCGTGAAATATTTATCAAAATAAGTTCAAGTAACACATCCTTCATCTCACAAAATTGCCATATACTTTGTGGTTGTATAGTGAGAACATTAATACTCTACTCTCATAGTAACTTTCAAGTCTATAATGCAGTATTGTTAACTATAGTCACCATGCAATACTTTATTTAGATTCTGAGAACTCTACCTTATATCTAAAAGTTTGCACCATTTGAAAAATGTATTCCAATGCCCTAACCAGCAGTCCCTGGTAACCACCATTCTACTCTCTATAAGATTTGTTTTTAGATTCCATATATTATGTAGAATATAGATACATTATTTGTTTTGATCAGTATGAATTATTTTACTTAGTATAAAGCCTCTAAGGTTTATCCATATTGTCACTAATACTAGGATTTCTTTTTTTTGTGATTAAGTAATATTCCATTGCATATATATATATATTTTTCTAGTTTCTTGGGATATAGTCCTAGAAGTGGGATTACTGGGTCAAGTGGGAGTTCCATTTTTAACTTTTTAAGGAAACTCCATACTGTTCTCCACAGTGACTGCACCAGCCTGCATTCCCACCAGCAGTGCACAAGGGTGCCTTTTTCTCCATATCTCTGCCAGCACTTGTCATTTGTTGATTTGTTGAGATAGCCATTCTGACAGGTGTGAGATGGCATCTCATTGTTGTTTTGATTTACATCTCTCAGATGTTCTAAAATTTGTATGAAACTACAAAAGCCCTTAAAGAGTCAAAGCAATCTTGAGTAAGAAAAAAACTTGAGGCATTATACTTCCTAACTTCAAATTGTATTACAAAGAATTGAGAGCCCAGAAATAATTTTCAACTAATACTAGGGCCTGGTGTACAAAATTTGTACACTCGGGGTGGGGGTCCCTCAGCCTGGCCTGCACCCTCTGGCAATCCAGGACCCCTTGGGGGATGTCCACCTGGTGGCTTAGGGGGTTAGGCCGAAGCTGGCAGTCGGACATCCCTCTGGCAGCCCAGAAGCCCTTGGGGGATGTCTGACTAACCTAGGGGTGTCGAACTCAATCAGAGAAGGGGCCAAAATCTAAAATCCAGCCCGAATTGCGGGCCGAATGGTTTACTGAACAATCATAAACTGTCATTGTGATGGAAACGCAGCGGAGTGCAGTGATGACAGCGCGGTGCGGGCCACATTGCAAGGCCTGGCGGGACGGATTTGGCCCGCGGGCCTTGTGTTTGACAGATGTGGTAGGCCAACACCCCTTAATACTGCCACAGAGGTGGGAAGGGCTCCTGCCACTATTGCTGCACTGGGCAACCATGAGCCAGTTTCTGGCGGAGTGGCACTCCTCCATGGAAGCTCACTGACCACCAGGAGGCAGCTCCTGTGTTGAGCATCTGCCGCCTTGTAGTCAGTGCATGTCATAGAGACTAGTCATTCCTGGTCATTCCACCATTAGGGTCAATTTGCATATTACCCTTTTATTATATAGGATTTGACAACATAATGAACACTATTAAACAGAGAAAAGGAGATTTGAAGTATTCTTTGTGTCTATTATTCAGGCATCTGAAAGGTAAAGCATGGTAGATATTCACTAGAGAGCATTATGCAGCAGTTAAAAATAAAACAGATATACACATAGCATAGAAAATATTGTGAAAAACATAAAGCTTAAAAATGTTAAGAACATAATTATATTTAATACCTCTTTTATATTTACCTCTTTTATAAAAAATCCTATATTTACTCTTTAGGATTGCCTATAGAGTAGGAAAAGAGTAGGTCATGTTATGGGGTTAAAGAGAATAGGTAATATATAAGTTATTTCAAAGAGCAGTGATGAAAAGGTACCATAAACTGAAAAGTGTAATTGACTCAACCCTCTGGAGAGTTCCAAATTTGCAAAAAGAGAAAAATAAACAAATAAAATTATTGTGTTCTATCCTTCTGAAATTACAAGAAAATGTCTAATTCTTCCACATGACTGTCCTAACAATATTTGTTTTCCCCTCTCTTTTTTGTTTACATAACCATAATTAACTCCTATTTTTACCTTCATTGAATGTTTTCTAGACTCCATACTCTCCCAGAATGCCTTCCACTGCTCATACAGTTTCTCAGCATCTCCTTTGTATTCTGACATCCAGAATCCTATGTAATTTCCAGATGTGATTTAGTCAGCAGTAATCTCATCTGGATACTTTATATTTATTGAGTCAAGAATTGTTACTCTCCCTTTTTTAAAAAAAAACTCACACTATTTTTTATTGCCCAGCTGGCATGGCTCAGTGGTTGAGAATCAACCTATGAACCAGGAGGTCATAGTTCCATTCCCTGTCAGGGCACATGCTTGAGTTGTAGACTCCATCCCCAGTGTGGGGCTTGCAGGAGGCAGCTGGTCAATGATTCTCTTTCATCATTGATGAGAATTCTTTGCTACTTAGGACAATTAGGAATGGAGATACCCAGTCACACTGCAATACTGTTCTTGAAATAAATAAAATAAAATAAAATAAATATATATATATATATATATATATATATATATATATATATATATATATACATATATTATGGTTTTATTGCTTCTAGAGAGAGAGGGAGAGAAGACGGAAAGAGAAACATAGATGAGAGAAACATTGATTGCCTGCCTATTGCATGCCCCCCACTGGAGAAGGATCCTGCAACCCCAGCATTTGCCCTGACAAAATCCAACCATCAACTTCTCAGTGCATGGGACTAGGCTTAGCCAACTGAGCATCACCTGCCAGGGCAAGAGTGCTTACTTTTTGTCTTGCTGTTTAGTCAACCCCTTTATGGATTTTATTTTACTATTACTTATTTTATATATTCTATCTTCAATTAAAATTCTTTTTTAAACCTGTTTTCTACAATTTTCTTCTTCTATTCTTATGCTGAACACTGTGCTAGGATCTGAAGCTTTGGAAATTACCAAGGTGCTATCTCAGCCCTGAATGTACTGTATGGGGTATTTCTCAGGAATGCAAGAATCAGGTTTATTTGTCTCATTGCCTAATCTGATTTCTTATGTTTACTAAGGAGTTACATTTCTTACCCCCACTGCTATTTTTAGTGAGCCATTATTCTTTGTGAAATCTCTATGAAATCAATAGACCTCTCTGAAGGGCCATTCTTCTTCATACGAAAACAAATGCATCTCTACTCCTCTTGAAAATGTTAAGATTTATCTCTAGAAAGTTATCTGCCAATATTATTTTAATGTGCTCGAGAGGCCTTCCAAAGTAGAAACGGTTGGATTTTTTATTCCATGTATTTTATTTGTTAAGGAAAGCAATTCCATACAGACTTAGGATGAAAAGTAGAAGATAGGTTATAACTTTGTGAATTGCTTAATTCAGGTCTAGACTCATAGATTCAGGGGCAGGGAAATACCTTAGATAGAGTTGACAGATAGCATTAACAGGTATGATAAATCCATGTTTTTAATGTGATTAACCATAGTTTGCACACATCTCCCCCCAAAGCCAATCTTTTTTTTTTTTACACGTACAGGCATGCCTAAATATCTCTGAACATGAACAGACATATGTGGATTGCCTTGGTTTTTCCATCCGAAAGCAATGCCTCTCTTCATGTTAAAGGTGAATTTTATACTGCAGGATTCCTGTCTCACTTACTATTTCTTCATCTCCTTTACATCCATGCCCTTTCTGCATTGGATTGTTTGCCTTTGACTACACTAATCTACATGCTTTTCCTTCCTGAGGAAAGAAAAGAAGCAGCTAACTTTATTTGAATCTGCATTCTTATTCCTACATAACCATCACCCTTTTTTTCTGTCTCTTGCCAGCTACACCTTGTATTTCTAATATTTTTCCCTCCAACATTTCAGTTTATTGGTATCTTTACCAAAACTACTTCATTGAAACAAATAACTTTCAATATATCAACAAAGCCATCCAAGGTGCTAAATTCAATGAATACTCTATAACCCTTCTCTACGTTGGCAATTATGGATACTATTGTTCAATTTTTCTCTCCTGAAACTTATTTCTCCATTGAGTTCAATAGCAATTTCTTTTTTCCCAGCTTTTTTTCTTAACTGATTCCTTCTAAGCCTTTGTCACGAATTTTTCCTCATCTACCCTTGGTATTCTTTAGAGGATTTTTCATTTTCTAAGCTCTTCTCATTGCCATTCCACTTCATAGTTTTAATTAGTATTTATGTATAAGTTATCTTTAGTATATTTATTTCTCATCATTCCAATTGCTACAGGCTTAGTTCATAATTTTAACCTCCAGAAAGTGTCTATATCTTCAACATCACTTGTTTTAACATTGTGCTTTTTTGTATGTGTGTTTGAGTATTTTTTCCCCTTACTTGTCTCTGTTGTGCTATTATCGATGATGGTTTTCTAATAGTCCTGGGAAAACTATTTCTCAAATATTCCCCTTTCCCATCCCAAGTAATGCTAAGGTCTAATTATGCTCATTGCTGGAATCTTCTCATTTTTATGATGTAAGTAGTAAATTATAATTTAAACTACATGTTAAGTGTCACTCAAAGACCTGTAGTATTTAAATTTAGTGATTACTGGATTTTAAAAATCTTACATTCAGACATGACACTTCACAATCCTGATTACATTTGCATTAATATTTTAATAATTTATATCTGGCTTAAAATTTGTATATATGTATGTATGGTTCCGAAACTGAATTGCTTTTTCCTTCTGATGCAGATCTCCTAATCATGTCTCCTGGCTCATGTTTACATTGCTTCTATTTGAGGGTACTGCAATGAGGTGCCAGAAGAGATGCCACCCTTTTCAGAAGGTAAACTCCAGCCTTTCAAGATGTAGGTTGTAGGTTGTTAGAAATAATGGGCTGTTGGTTGTTGTTGTTGTTGTTTTTTTTTTTTTCTTTCTTCTTCAGAGAGGAACGGAGAGAGAGATAGAAGCATCAATGATGAAAATCACTGATTGGCTGCCTCCTGCATGCTCTTTACTGGGGATTGAGCCCGCAACCTAGGCATGTACCCTTGACTGGAATTGTACCAGGGACCCTTCAGTCCACAGGCTTATGCTCTATCCACTGAGTAACACCATTTAGGGCTGGGCTATAGTTCTGATACAGACAACCCCTTATTATCATGTATTTAGAAAAGTACTATGCA